CTCAGAGCCAGTCTTCCTCAGCAAAAAAAGAGGAGGATTAGCACGGATGTTAGCTCAGGGCTGATCTTCCTCACAAAAAAAAAAAAAGAGGGGGATTGGCATTGGATGTTAGCCCAGGGCTGATATTCCTCACAAAAAAAAAAAAAGAAAAAGATAAGTTTCATTTTTTTTAAATAGATATAAATGCTGAGAATTCTTGGTCTCATAAATAAGTAGATGGACATAGAAATTTTTTATAGCGATAATTATTCCATTTTCTTTTTTTCTGAATTATATGTTCAATCACATAGTGCTCTAGGTTCAAAAATATTTTTATCCTATTGGCTGACAACTCAGGTAGGTCTTCCCTCAATTTTGTTGAAAGCAGACTTTGCAGTCACCTGGACTGCCAAAAGATTTGTTACCCAGTTATTAGTCATTCACTTGTTTATTACTGACATTGCTATTTTAAATTGTCCCTCTAGTTTGATATCACAGATGAGCTTTTACACAACACGGCAGTGAACCATAGTAAAATTCAGGATGGGTGAAAAGCCTTTCTTTAGTTTAGTGGGAGAAGGGTGTTAAGGGAGGTGGGCAGGAGAATCTGCACTTAAACACCTCTCTGTTTTAGGAAACAATATTTGTGAAAGTTGAGGATCTAGCCAGTTGATTCCTTTAAAACAACATGTGCCTATGAATCTCTTGGAAAATCTTTGCATACCCCCAGGGATAAATGTACCCCACTTTTAAGACCACTGCCCTGGAGTGCTGTTATTCAGACTACAGGTTGTAACCCATTGATGGATAACAAAACTGAGTGGGTTGTGACCAGTGATTTTAAAAAAAGGAATAAAATGGAAAATCACAGTGCACATTATATTTGGTAAGGTTAAGTAAGTATAGTTGCATGAAAATGTTTTGTTTCAGTTACATATATACATGTATGTATAGAATTGTGATATGAAATATATTTCTTGTTGTGAATTGTGGTGAGAGAAGTTTGAAAGCCACTGTTCTATAGGATGGAAGGTTCTAGGAATTCAGCCCTGGCGTGGAAAGGGTCACTGACTGTAGTATGGGATGGGGTTCCATTTTCTCATGGCTTGCAGGAAGGCTGTTTCCTGTTTTATTTTGTTCCTTCAAAGGCTGACAAGGAGATGGGAAAACTGGTATTCCTGTCTAGGCATGGTGGCATTCTGCAAGACACTGTGGAGGTTGGGATGAATGAGATATGGTTTTTATCTTCAAGAAAGTGTGGTCTACTGGGGTAGATAATACATTTTGCACAGTATCATCATTGTTTGAATATATGTTAAATGTCATGAGAAATAAGTTTTTTCCAATTTTTCAATGTGTTCATGTGAATTTGTTAACCTCTCCCTTTTAAAATTTGTTGTAAACTTGAATTGATGAGACACCACTTTAAACTCTGTGCAATGGTATATTCTTGTTAAGATGACCTGTAATACCTTTAAATATATATGTATAAGGTCACTGCAGTATTTTCTCTGATTACCATTTCAAACTCACCATGATACTGGCTAGTGACATCCTTTTTTCCCTTCACCTCTCACACCAGTAATTCTGTAGCTTGATGATGCTCTCTACAGCTTTTTCTTTCAGTCTTTGCTTATTCAATAAATTCAAGTTAATCTTGTCCAAAGTTGTTCATTCTACTTTGTTTTTCCTCTGTCCCCAAGTAAGGCTGTTAGAGTTTCCCTTGTTTTCGTACTTTCTTCTTTGAAATTATAAAATTGACTTTTCTGTAAAATTCTGAAGAAATGGAAATGACCAAGAGCCTCTCATTTCTGAAAGACATTATCAGTTGCAGTTTTATATTTCTGATCTAAACAGCTTGTAATGTGGGTTCATTCAAAAAACATACTTGGTATGTTAAAATTGCTTTGAATACATCTAGACCCAATAAATAATCTGTATGTGTACTATGGTATCTTTACTATCTGGAGTTCTTGATGAACTTAAGATGACCATAGAGAACAGTTGAGGTAACTTTTTACACAATTTCAAAAGGAATAACGTGATCCTTTTTTGAGAGTTTTTGGTGTCATTTCTAAAGAAAATGCATAGTGTGTAAAAGGTCAATGTTGATTTAGTTTCTGTCTTGTCTGTTTGCCTATATCATAATAAAAATCAGATTTAAAGATGTTCTCTAAAGCAGCAGTTTATATTATTGCATCAACTCTGAAGTATAAACCTAGTCTTTTATGATTGTCACCGATGATAAC